CTGAGCCTCTAGCTATTATCTTTGGAAAATCATGGGAGACGGGAGAGATTCCAGAAGACTGGAAAAGGGCAAAGTGAAGTCACTGGGGGCAGGGTGATGGAGTGTGAGGGCAATACCTGCAGCAGTGTGATGTCACTGACGGCAGGGTGTTGGGATAGTGGTAGTACCTCCAGTAGTGTGAGGTCACTGGGGGTGGGGTGATGGGGTGGGGGGCAGTACCTGCAGCAGTGTGATGTCACTGACGGCAGGGTGTTGGGATAGCGGTGGTACCTCCAGTAGTGTGAGATCACGGGGGCAGGGTGATGGGATGGGGGAGGCAGCTGCAGCATTGTGAGGTCACTGGGGGTGGGTTGATGGGAAGTGGATGATACCTGCAGCAGCATGTTGTCATTGTTAAGGGTCTTCTTGTCATATTGCTGGTGGGGGATCTGGTGGCGCACGGGGATTTTCTGTTGGCTCCGTTCCTGTTCACTAATGTTATGGGCTCCCAGCTTGACAGTGATCTTGCTGTAAAAGCGAAGGGCAATACATGAGGCATTAGGGGCAGGAGCGTACATGAGGTGGGGGATGGGCACATGTGGGTCTGACTCATGAACAGTGACATGGAGGAGACAGGGCAGCCTGGGGTCTCTCAGGCCATGATCCCAGACTCAGCTGCTGGCCTGGAAAAATGTATATATCACTGTACACATTGCCAGCTGCGATCTGGCCCCACAGCTGGGGACTGGCTGACTTAGGGGACAAGGGGGAATGGCACAAGGGGCCTCTCCCCACTAGAGGGCGCCGTTTGTGGCACAAAGTCCATGCCCACTGGTGTTGGGGTCCCAGCCTGTGTCCCCCCAGCCCCTTGTGCTGTTCCCCTGAGCTCCTTCACTCCTTGTTCTCCCAGCACCTTGCTCTCAGCTCCCGTCCAGCCCAGTGACCCCACCCAGGCTAGATCCAAACAGGTTTCTATGCCCAGGCCCCCCCATCCCAGAGCCCTGCAGAGCTCTCCTGGGGCTGTAAGCCCCTCCCTGCCCCGATCTGGGCAATGGGGCCAGACCCCAGCTTGATTTACCCAGTGTTGGATCTGGGCTCTGCTCTCCCAGCCCGTCATACTAACTGCTCCTTCTCTGCAACCCATGACAGCGCCAGAGCTCCCAGCTCCTCCATTACCTGCTAACCCCGACCTGCCCCGACATCCTCAGCACAGAGGCGCTTACCTTCCCTTGCAGTGAGCAGCCGTCAGCACGAAGTTTGTCTTCACCAGGAACCCTCCACATTTTCTTTTAAGCTGCCCGTCTTGTATTTCCAGATAGGCCATGTAGCGTCTGGAGTGGGCCTTGGCTTCCTGGCCCCCGATAATCTCACCTGTGGGGAGACCAGGTTCATATAAAAAACCCATCATCTCCCTGGGCTGGGCTGGGATCGATCTCCCCATCCCGAAGGGAAGTGCCCACAACCTCAACCTCCTCCCCTCACCCCCCTCACCCCCCCCCCCCACTGGTGATGCTCTTGTGACAGATTTTACCATTTCAATCTGCCTGGAGCGTCAGTTGATCAGGCTGACGCCACAGGATTATTTGGAGAGGAGATGACAAAACGCATCAAGTGCCTAGATTTTAAAGCTTTATTGATAAAATAATAAAATCACAGCAGAGAGTGCTGGGAATGCTCCCACATCACTCAGGGGAAGAAAGAAAGCGTTAATGTCCCAAGGCCCTAACCCACTTTCATACTCACACCCGCGCTACCCAGACTGGCCAGGTCTGGGTGTAATGTCAGAAGAAGAAGAGAGTGGGGGGAAGATGGACGGGAGTGCTGTCCTGGGCCCAGGTCGTCCAACAATCCGCTGTGTTCTCCGAATTGCTCCAGCTCTCAGGACGGTTTTTAAGTCCTGGGCTCCTTTGGGGGTGTTCCATTCCACAACCTCTGTTCCTGGTGCTTTTTGTGCCAGTCAAAACCGGCTTTCTGTGGTCTCCTAGACTTTCCCCAAAACACACCGGCTAGACTCTGTTGTTCTCTTTGTTTTCCTCTGTGCTGACCTTCACCTGCCTCACTTGTTATGGGCTGGCTCTGCAGGTCTGTGTCTGTTCCATTCTGGGCCCCCCTTGTTCTTGGCCGGCAGCCAAGAGTCAGATGTGTGCTGTGGCCTTGAGTTGGCTGGAGTTAGTGTTTTATCTTCGAGCCTAGCAGGAGCGTGGAGTTAACCCGTTCTCTGCTCTTTTTCTTTCTCTTCCCCCCTCAGCCTCTCGTGATCTGCAAAGGAAACTTCTACTCCCCAATCGCACACCTTTGACCCTCCCCAAAATGCTTTGCGATGCTCGCAACAGTGTTAGCTACATACAATGCTGATCTGCCTTCCCTGGAGACTCCCTGAGGGGGGGGGGTCCATTGGGGTGTGACACTCTCCTTGGGGGATCCCTGTGCCTGGAACCCTGCTCCATTCTCCCTCACAGATACCCCATGGGGCTGGAGGGTAAATCTGAAGCTTATCCCTCACTGGGTGGGGAATCGTACCAAACACGCTGGGAGTTGGTCAGTGTCATGAACATACAGCTGAGGGTAGTATAAAATCCCTCCTTTACCTGTAAGGGGTTAAGAAGCTCAAATAATCTGGTTGGCACCTGACTAAAAGGACCAATAAGGGGAGAAGATACTTTCAAATCTGTGGGGGAAGATTTTTGTTTTGTCTCTTGTTGTTGTTTTCTCCAGGTCAGGGAGGGACCAGGGTCAGGAAAAATACATCTCCTAAAGCCATATCTGAAAGAAGTATCTAAAAGTACAAATTGTGAGTAATAGCAAGAAAATGCATTAGGCTATCTTTTGTTTTGCTTGTAAACTTTCCCTATGCTAAGAGGAAGGTTTATTCCTGTTTTTTGTAACTTTAAAGTTTTGCCTAGAGGGGAATCCTCTGTGTTTAAATTCATACTACCCTGTAAAATTATCTTCCATCCTGATTTTACAGAGGTGCGTCTTTTACTTTTTTCTTTATAATAAAGTTCTGTTTTTAAGAACCTGATTGGTTTTTAGTGTTCTAAAACCCAAGGGTCTGGTCTGCGCTCACCTTGTTTACCTATTTGGTTGGTATATTATTCTCCAGCCTCCCCAGAAAAGGGGTTGAAGGGGCTTGGGCAGATATATTGGGAAACAAGAACTCCAAGTGGTCCTTTTCCTGAATCTTTATCTACTCACTTGGTGGTGGCAGCATACCGTCCAAGGACAAGGAAAAATTTGTGCCTTGGGGCAGTTTTAACCTAAGCTGGTAAATATAAGTTTAGAGGGTCTTTCGTGCGGGTCCCTACATCTGTACCCTAAAGTTCAAAGTCGTGAGGAAACCCTGACAGTCAGTAATCACACTGCCTTGAGGTAACAGCTTTGGGGATCAAGGTTACACCAGATTAGGTCAGACAGCCCCCAGAAGGACACTGAAAGGTCTCCTGTGGGTGCTTCTCCTTCTCCATGAGCCCACACTGACCAACCAGGGCTGGTCCAAGACTGACCTGCCAAACGTTTGGTCCAATGGAAAATTGTAGGTTTTACTAATAATATTTGTTCTCAGAAAGCCTCGTCTCGAACCTGTCTGAATTATTATGGTGCAACTGATTCTTTCTCTCCAGTTGTGGGTAATATTTACGGGAGAAGTTTCAGGTTTTGGTCATTGTAAAAGAAACACTTTTGATAGTTTTTCCCATGGAAAAATAAAAAAAAGTTTTGTGATCAGCTCTGAAGAAGTCTCCACCCAGGTGGGTGTGTTTTTTTGGAAAATCCCACCTTTAACACATGGCTTTAGTTACATTAGACTGAGATCCAGGCCCCCATTATATCAGGTGCTGCACAGACCCACAATCCCTGCCCCAAACAGTGTCCAGTTCAGACAGACACAGGCAG